TCATGTAAATATAAATGAAAAGGGGGAAATCCATCATACAAAGTAACACAAAGTTGTATCGCCTGATGCTGTAAGGAGAGCAGGGGCGGATTTAAAAGGGGGGGGGGGGTGCTTAAATCATTAGTGCCTGTCGTTTAGTTTCCGATGTAAACACACACACACAAACACAAACTCTTTTCAGAGCGTAACAAGCTAATAAATAATAAACGAGCTGCATACTGTACACAAGCATCCCATCTTGATAATCAAATACAGTCTAAGTCAAATCTAATTCCGATTAAGAACGTGGCATCGTCTTGGGTATTTTACAGCCTAAAAACCCCACACATGATTTTCTCCAGTGTATATTATAGGCCTACACGCATTAAACAATAATTGAATATAATATTACTTACCACAAAAAAATGAAATGTCTCTAAAGTATAGTGGTACAGCCGATAGGCCAACAAAAGAAGACGGATCTAGAATAAGCCAAGCCAAGGGACGTTTGTAAATTCTATGCCTGGTAGACAATGACAATGAGCCGATCATTATATGACCGAGATTATAGCCTATCTAAAATTCGTGACGGATGGATGGACGCACATCCTCTAAAGGAGAGCATGAAGGGGCGCAAGCCTCCGCTCCCCCGGAATCTTTTTCAAAAGTTTAATAAGTAGGCCCTATACAGCCTGTAATAACGACTAAAAGGGGGGTAGGCCTACATTATAAAGATTTTTTTTCATTGGTAACACAAGTGGTAATGGTGATACTTGGATTGAAGAGGGTCCCGAATTGAAGCAGACAACCTGATGTCAAAATAAATGAAACCATAGGCCTATTTGAATGTTTGGATTTATTCTTTAGAGAATATAAAAACATCCGTTTCCTGGATTCATCCATGCAGAAACGAATGACATTAATTACATCCGTAAGCAGAAGCCAACGTGACATGATCATCATGATCGTTTTTACCGAATTATTACATCGGGGGAAAAATGCCGTCGAAAAAGAAAGGCATAATTAGCGGTGGTAGATTCATGCTGAGTTAAAAAGTAAAAATGAAAGCTGGATCTCGTTTCAACAGAAATCTTCGAGCTATAAAATTGATTAATGAAAATTCGTTCAGCTTCGATGCGTCGCTATTTAACTATGGCTAAATATGGAGTTAGACTATAGACTAGGCATATGCCTATTGGGGAAAATTTCTGAAAGCGTCGAGGTATAGGCCTACAAACTGGGGTACAGGCTCACGGGCGTTACGTAAGCCTGCAATTCGATACAATAAGTACCGTAGGCTTAGATGTGTATTTCGATATGTAACTGAATTCATCTTCGATTCAAAATTAAGATTTTGATATTCATGTGTACATTTATAATAAAGGACAAATGCCATTAACTTTCATTAACTTCTTCCAGGCCTGTTCATGCATATGAGAAAGAAATCATAAAGAAAATCTGTAGGCCTACATTTCAAAGAAATGATACAATTACGGGTTAAAAAACAAAAGGCATATCATGAATGTCCACATGAAGGGCCAAAGTTAGGCTAGGTGACCTTATTTAAAGACCTAATTGTTACCACTATTTCTTTGTTTGAATTTTATTGTTTTATTGTCGGAAAATAAGTTTCCGACTCTGATATCTTATAGTTGATTAGTTTAATATTGTCATTAAGGGGTTCCCGTTGCTGCTTTGCTTGTGGCATCCTTTTTCCAGAATCCACAACACCTACTTTTGTGAGGGGTGTGGTACGCAAATGTTAAGAGGTGCACATAACGCAAGGGCCCGCCCCAGTAGGTCTCAGATCACTGGGCCTGTACAGCTGAACACTCTCTCCTTTAAACTAAACAAGCGCGTCCCTATTCATTCTAATAACATCTCCATGGAAATTCTTGGAAATCACGCTCAATTGGTGAATTTGTTAAGCTGGTACTTGAGGACAAGCCAAGTATCGTCTCATCTCCCACTACTGTTTTCAACCGCTGAAGGCCGAGTTGTGTTAGTCGTGGCCTCTGGAGCGGATATTATTGTCTCCAAGTGTGGGAAGGTTACAATGAGAGGACAGTTTCTGAGAGTGTATATACCGTAGGCCTACACAGTGAAAAAATATAAACTCATAGTACGCTCGTAACCCACGATGGAATACCCTAGCATAGACTTCCACATCCGAAACGCACGACCCATAAAAACCCCACATTGTGACATAATGATGTTGAGTATAATATGCTACTACTACTGTTAAAGCAATCTATATTATAGATTGATTTAACAGTAGTAGTGAAACTGTCAAATATTACGTCATAGTTGCAAAGCACGTCACACCAATGGTCAGTGCTGCATTCAGCTAATCACAAAATAAAGAGCTCAGGATGTTAGCATTTCCATCAGGGCTAGAATGCTGACTAATCCCTACTTTTTTATACATTCATGCTTTAACCAATCACCTGATTTCACTGACTGGTCTGTTAGTATACGGTAGCTAACTTGAAATGGTGGACTTTCCGTGCAAAGTAGGCTTAAATATTATTTGAAGAGTAACATAAAGGGGTTAGAAACAATATATGGTTTGTTGTTGTCTTCACTTCATTACTTTTTTTCAACATGTAATACTCAAATTAAGTAATGTTCAGACGTATTTAAGTCTACTAGACAACCGGCGACAGAGACAGCACGCGCTGTTGTATCAAATTTGGAACATCCTACCACGCCCCTGAAACCACCAAACCGCTTCCAATTGTTTCCTAGTCTCGTATTCAATTTGTTATTACTCCGGGAGTGACATGTAGTACTGCGCTCGACGAAACATAGGGATTGAATTCATTCAACCATTCTGTTTTTATTATTAAAACTCATAGCAGTAAAATATAACTGAATTGCGAGTAGATTTACAAAATGTACAAAATACAAGATTGTTAAAAGATAAAGTATCATTAAAATGCAACAAGCGGGAAAATCAAAAACATAGAGAAAAAAGACCAAAACAGGAGAAAAAAAAAATCAGGAACAATAAGAATCACGACAAAACCTACATTCGGAATAGGACAAACAAGAAGACATTAGCATAATATTAACACCAAATTCAATTAGCATTAATATGACTAAAAGAAAAACATCTAAACGTACATTAAGAAAAGGACAAAACGAGGAAAACAAACACTAAGACATTAGTCGCTGGAAAGCCAATTCACACAAGGACAAAAACAAACATTACATTGACCTGTCTCTTATACACATCTAGATGTGTATAAGAGACAGGTATATTATAGGCCTAAACATCGATGGTATTGATAGAACATATAACGATGAAAATGAAAATAATATTTACTGTATGGTAATAATAATAATAATAATAATAATAATAATAATAATAATAATAATAATAATAATAATAATAATAATAAAATCATGGAATAACATTCAGATAAACCACGACGCAACTTTGATTACAACTTGTCCTAAATCAAATTAAAGTTTATTTTCCTTTTGAACATACGAAAATTTACTTCTTGGTAATCAATATTTATAAAAAAAAAATTACAAAGAAAATTTCCCTGTTTGGTCTCTGCAGATATTATTCTCCTACCGATTGAACCAATTCTATCGAAACGTTGAGACATTCTCAACAAAAACAATAGTTCTTTTCAGAACTATCTACGTGGAGTACCACAAGCATTTATTAAGAAAAGAAAAATTGACCATAAGCAAAATTGGGAGAATGTAACAAAAGGATGGGGGAATCATACAGGCCTTAATTAGTTTTTTCTGATTGATCCCTCCATAAGCATAACATGACGTATTAAAAGTGAAAGTACTGTATTATGTCTTGCTGAGTTTTTTTTTACATCGTTGCAGATAATTCACGCTAAAACAATAAACGCGTTTAATATATAGGCCTTGCTAATACTCATTTTAAAGAGGGGTCGAATTCTTCCAGAAACTAAATATATTCAAGGCATTTTAGGTATTTAAATGTCTATTTTTTAATTTAAATGAAGTAGTGGTCCAAAATGGTGACCTTTTTCATGAAATCTTTTCATCCTAGTGGCCCAGGCGAATTGCCTCCGTCTGTCCCCTCACCAAGCTAATGAGTGAAAGTGACATTTGGTACAAAAAATAGAATGAATTAATGGACGTGTTTTGCTGCCAATTTTAAGAGCGAGAGTCTATTTAGTTTTGTGGAAGGGGTGCTCGAGAAATGGCCTCTCATGGGCGACTACATCACTACTGCGAATGGTAGTCCTCGACTAACTGCATTTTAAATAGAGGAAGCAGTTCTTGCGACTGGTGTCTCTACTTTAAGGTCAGAGTTTACTTCCCTCCATGGCTTGGATCATACACTTCATATTATCTCTTTCTCTTTACTTCTCACCATGAAAACACGCAAAGAAATAATATACTGTTTTGATAAGCGCTACTGATGATTGCCTTTTGTAATATTATCCAAACTTTTCATTTGGCGTGTATATTTTATGAAAACCCTTTGTTTTGTAAAGGAATCAATGTTTCTTCCAACGTAAAAAACAGGCTCCACACTTTCCTTGTTGACAATTCACTTGAATAACTGTACTTGAATAACTGTACAACAGATTGTTGACTTTTTAGTTAGCCTTCTATCATAGGGTCTTATCTAGCAGCTTTCTGTGTTGCTAATTCACTTGAATAACTGTACAAGTAACAGATTGTTGACTTTTTAGTGCTTTCTAGGATAGGTATTATCCAGCATGGCATGTATTTTGTAAACTTTCTTTTCATTTTTATCTTTAGCCTATGACCTATCCCATCATTCCTCCACTGGTTTACTCTTACAAGGTCAACTGCCAGATGACAGCAAAGTGTTTACTGATGCCCGAAGGGGAAGTAAACACAAAAAAAAACTGTGTTGCAAATGTCAGAATCAAATAATTGTGGGACTCCTGGATGGAAACTTCAACCATGGTAGCTAATTAGACTACCCATGATCCATATTCCTACACTTAAAAATCAAATACTTAAAAATCAAATACATAAAATCCAAGAAATAAAATGCATAGCAACACAGACAATGTTCTTTATTTTCAAATGCAAAAAACAAGTTATACATTGGGGTGGTTTTTTTTCTAAGCCTATATACAAACAAGATTCTTTCCTTTCTAGCATTACAAAGTGGGGGAGAATGTTTACGTCTAACACTGGCTGGTCGTTTGCAAAGCATTGTAGTTAGCAGCTTAACCTAACGACAAAACTCCTAAAACTGTGGAGCATTTTTCCGTGTCCATGTATACTTATCTATTCAATTACATACCGTAACAATTCTATTGTATACATAAACCCATGAATCATAAATAATGGGAAGATAAAAAACCCACATAAATTAATGACAAGATTAAGGTGTTTTTTAGATATGTGCAACACGGAAAGTTAGATGAGCAAAGTGCATCATTTTACCAAATAATTTGTGAAACCTTGAGTTTACAAAAACTTATTAAAAACTACTGTAACAATACAACATCTTCACGGATCATATCACAAAACTTTTTTTTTTAAAAGACAATACAATACCTTCATAACTATCATACCCAACAGCTTCCCAAACTGACTTTTTCATTCTCCTCTTCATTTAATCATGTAGGAGCACAAGCAGTTGCAGATATATAAATTTGATATATGAATTTTTACTAATTCTTATATTCTTTTTATCAATGATTAATAGATTTTATGTACTGTAATTCCAGAGAAATTAACATAATTTTGAAGTATTTTTTTTTTTTTATTTGCTTAGTGATGGTCATTCTATTAGTACAATGTTATCAAATTAAAAATTAAATTATTATATTTCTATGACATGTTATTACTTACCAAATTTCAGATTTTTGTCTAAATTTTAAACAATAACAATAAAAAAGGTTAACAAAATTAAAAAAAAGCAACTGAAAATTTTTTAACTTCATTGTACAATTAGTACATAAAAAAAGGCAGTTAAAATTTAACCATGGTTTATCTAGTTTCTGATTGGTTGAACCAGTTACTTGGATTCCTGGGATGATGAAGCACCTTCAGTGGTTGCCATGTCGACGGTTGAGTTACCATTCTCTCCTTCTTTCTTGTCCTTCTTTCCATCAACTATTTAAACAATAATTTATAGATTAGGATATGCTATTTACAAGTTAAAACAAAGAAATTTCTGTGAATTAAAATGAAGAAAATACAGTAGAACCCAAGGGACACCGTTGGGATAAAAAAATGTGTCCCCTTAATAGGGTGCCACCTTAATTAGGATGTCCCTTAATTAGTGTATCCCCTAATTAGGGGTGTCCAAAAGGAGGGGGGTCTACTGTTATATGTTGTTAAAATATGCTGTCTCTATCGAGCATTAATGCATTATTTAAATTGCTTAATTTGTTATTTTTAAGTATAATTCCCATATTTGCACAGATAGTTCAATGCATTGGCAGACAATCTAAGAATCTATAGTAAGAGGCTGAAAATCAGAGATTTCTGTGTCTTATAGAAATTGGTTTGATCTCTTTAGAATTCTAGGTTGAGGGTGTTCCAGATTTTAACAGAAAGTATTTATTTCAAGTTTTTTTTTTAGCTTGGTTATTTAATAAGGAAATCATAATTTTATCGACAAGAGTGAGGCGACACCAGTGGTCAGATGATTAATAACTATTTTGCTTTTCAAATTTAATAGTACTGTAATACTTCTGGTTTATATAGAACTTTCTAAATCCCCAAATCTGTGTGCTTGAACAAAATTTGTATCCCTAAATCTATATGCTTAAAAAATAAAATCAACATTAATACAATGCGCATACCAGGCTCCTTTTCACCTCCCTCACTATCGTCTCGTCGACGTTTACGATTCATCTTGGCCGAGTTGCGCTGTGGTGGTGGTAGCGGCTCCATGCCCAGTACCTTATGCACTTGACGGAACACTATCAGCCTTAGGGCATGCTGGGAAATGAACACAATGGTGTACATGTATAAAATATTTATATTATATTATATACATTATATTTATTAATTTCTTTGTAAATGCTATGAATTTCTACCTCCTTGCTGAGATTTAAATTACTGAATAAAATTTAATTGAAACCTAATACCACCTACCACCCACCTAAATGATATTCTTTGTTGCTTCCTTATATAAGTGATTTATACTAACAAATTCACAGCACCATTGATTTTGCACCTCTGAGTTTTAAATGACAATATTAACAATAACAATAGTGCACCTTAGAGTTTTAAATGACAATATTATTAATAACAATAAAAAGAATAAGCAAAAAAAAAAAAAAGAAAAAAAAGAAGATTTGCTAGTGTTCTATATTGATGAAAATTACTTTCTCAGCATCATGGCTAACGACAAAAGGAAGTGAAGATACATTGCAAAAGCTTCCTGTAAGGGATGTCATCTGAACTCATTATACATGAATAACAAAATATGAATATATAAATCAAACAGAAGAAACAGTTGAAACATATGTTGCTATCTGAAGAACAAAACATAAACTATACTCTACAGTGTTAAAATATACTTATTATATTTTCAATCCCTCAACTGTGCATTTCGCTTGTGTCCTTGAGCAAGACACTTTATATGCATTGCCTCTCCGCACCCAAGAATATAAATGGGTACCTGGTGGGGTTGCCTGCTCCTACGCTGATTACCAGCAGCAACACTTAGCATGTGGACCCAATGACCAGGGAAAAGAACTGCGCTTTATAACCGCAAGGAAGAGGCGCATTATAAATGACCGTACCAGTACCAGATTATATTGACCAACTCAGTCAATTCTGGTGCCATGTTGTAGCTGTAGCTGGTGGAGGTGGACAGTCAAAAATGTAAAAGTGCATTTACCTGAGCGCTAGCTGTGATATCCTCCCTCTGCTGGTTGGTCAGGTGTCCAAATGCATCTGTCGGTTCTTTCTCACAAGGATCATACATGCCAGGCCCTCCTACAAAATATCATGCAAAATCATTATTATATGACAGAAAAGCATTTTAAGATTATTTATTAATAATAATAATGACATTTAGTAATTAGAAGTCTTTACAGTAATAATATTTTATTATTTAGTATCCACAGATTTACTGACTGAGAAAATATACTTCCAAGAAAACCTAATAAGCTTGAAATTAAAAAAAATTGCATACTCTATGTTGAGTAAATAGATTTAATAGTTAAATAGTATATATATATATATATATAGAGAGAGAGAGATATATATATATATAAAATTATATATATATATATATCAGTTATCTATTGCACGCAGGCAATCATTGATATAGGGGAGTAAAAATTCAATGTATGCAAGCTAAAAAATTTTTTTTGTGGAATGAACCGTGACAGTACTACAAAGCAATATATAAATAAAGATAAGATAAGATCAGAGTGCAGTATTTTAAATGCCACTAAGGGGAGAATGGAATGAATTTAGAATGACAAAGACAAATTAACATGAAAAAGCTGTTTGTTCAGTGAGGGCTGCTCCCACTGAATATGCAAGGCTTTGTGTTGTTTTTGAAAATTATTAGCTGTCTGCTGTTCAATCGTTCTTTTGGCAATATATATATATATATATATATATATATATATAGAGCGAGAGAGAGAGATCTTAATTAAATGAATTTTATGAATAAGAACTAACATGATGGCTGAATCAGTAAAATATATAGTCTTCTTTAATTCATTAAAAAACACAGAATGAAACACTTCAAAATATCTTTAAGGTATGAAAAGAATACTACTAAATATATCTATTTATATATATATATTTTTTATTTCTTATAAATTTAAAATAATAATATTTAATTATTTAAATATGCTTATACTTTTCCTCTTGTATCATTGATCGGAAATGTATTTATATATATTTGGAAAACGATACATTAATAATATATATGTTTATATGTTATTGATAAGGATGATGACCTTAAGTGATAATTAAGTAATTATAAAACAAAATGTAAATTACTTATCAATTCACATCATTAGTTTATATTAGTACAATGATTCGAACTAGTAAAATCAATAATCATAAAACTTAAGATAACAAAATCGACATGAATAGCATTCATCATGGGGAACCACCAAGGTTCTCTACCCCATATGTGCAAAAACATTGTGAAAACTGTGCCAATCTCTGGCTTAATTTCCGTTTGTTTTCCTTCATTTTCTATCAAAACAGCTTACCTGGTAGAATGACCCCTCCAGCTATGGCTTCAAAGATACGACGCAGAGATTCTCCTGGGGTCAAAGGTTGTCCTGCACTAGCAATTACCCTCTCGCAGAGAAGCTCCACAGGCTGTGGAGAACATTACAACAAAACAAAACATGAAAATGCTAGCTCTCTTGACCCAACATTATAATAGAAAAAACATTGCTCTAAATATGTAAATGTCTGTTGATGATTAGAGTACATTATTATAATCTGAAATTAAACCACAAACAATATTCAATTAACACTAATTATAATATAAATAATCCCAATTTTGTATCAATCTTATCTTAATGTTTATTCTAAAACATTAAGTTTAAATATAAAGTTTAATAATTATAATTAATAAATACCAATGGTAACTTTATTAACACATTCATAATGAACATTATATAATATAATTATTATAAATAATTAGAAACACAAACCGTATTAATTATATACCAAATATATGGATATTATAAATAAATGAAATTGATGAATAAATTATCATGACACTATTCAGTTCATTATCTAATATGAAATTCACACTCAGCGCCGTTGCTGCAACAGAATAGTGAGCCGTATTGGCAGGTGGTTCATTGGTGGTAAAGTATTCAGGTCTAGTCAACCAAATTAGCCTCATGGCTAGCCAATCAACAGCTCACAACCTTTCTTGCACTCCATATCAATAAGCTTAGTGATACTTCAAATAATCCAATAAGATGTGATACTGTCTTGGGAATGATACAGGAAATTGAGTTTGAGCTACTGAATGCACAATATTTCATCTAATTTGCACATATGCAAAAGTGTCTTTAAATAGAGAGGTAGATCAGTTATTTGCTTTTCTATTTATATAATTGACATTTTTGTATGTATCATCTATGACCTTACACTCTGCCAACTATCATTGCAGCAGTAAATCTTTCCCTGTATAGTATAATTCTAATTGTATGATTTTCACTTGTACTCAATAACATTTAATCGAGTAGAGCCCAGACTATCAAATTTTATTTGACAAAAACATGTGACATGCCTAAATATGGTCATAATGACATCACATCATGACCATATATAGGCACATCATGACTATATATGGGCATACAACATTTTCTTGTCAAAGAAAATTTGGTAGTCTGAACTGGACTTCGGATATGAAAAACTCACCCAGCCATTGAGCGGTGACCAGGTCGGGATTCTCTCACAGAGATCTCGCAGCACACGGATGATGATGACACAAGACTGAAGGCAGTTGGCCCTTGCCTAGCAAGACAGTGGAAAGTAGACAATTGTTAATTTAAATTCACATTAAATAATAACATTTTTACACTTAATCTACTTAAGACAAAAAATACTTGAAAACGCAATTATTACTGCAGATAATCTAATATGGTCCCAAAATACTATAAATTATATTTCTTAGTTATAAATTATTTCTAAGCTATTAAATAAATTCTCTTTTTGTACATTTACTGAAGACACATTATGCATTGGATAATGTAAGTATTATGAGATTTCATGCACTAAATGCTGTTAAGATAAATATAAATATGATAAACATATAGAAAGTTCTACAACAGTAACCTTATAACGTAAAAGTCTAAAAGAAGACAATACAGATATCAAAATTGTTTGAAAAACTAATTTGTAAGGAAAATTCTGTATACTAGCAATATACTAATAATAAACACTATACAGCAACTTTTTGCATGTAGGTGAATTCGTCCTGATTCTTGTGTGATTTATCATAATTATCATTGGTTTAATGTTCCAAATTGCTGTTGTTAGGATGAGTAGTATATATGCATGTTTTTTTAAGGACAGGGAGATCAACATGATCTTAAGACATATTGAGTTTCTGTATGACTTCACCTACCTTTTATCAAATCCTGTTCTCAAATATAGCCTAATAGTTAATGTAATTCTCTAAACAATATTTCTTAAACATGCAATTGTCAGGGTTGTTTCTAAGCAATGTATATTTTCCAGTTCAATTCTTATTATGTAAAATGTTGTAAATCAAACCAGAGCAAATGAACTAGCAAAGGAAAACATTAATTGACCTTTCTATCATAAGGGGTAATGAACATTAATAAATAATTCATATCTGATTCGTATCTGAGTCTCCTTGCATGCAATACTGACAGAGGTACAGCAATTGGTACTGTATTCCTACTTGACAAGTATATTAGTTTCAGTCAGTAGAGCACACACTCAGTATTTTAAGGTCTTGGGTGCAAATTTTGGAGGGGTAGTATATTCAATAGATATACCTTGTTTGCTTCTTCAACAGCACAAAAACACATATGCCAGTTGCCTTAATAAAGGCTTCATTGGGAACTGAATACAATAAACATCCTGAGTTCTTTGGCCTCAAATCTGGGTGTAAGCGATACACTTATATAATTTCTCTTTTTAAATTTTCAACTGGTATTAGGTATAATTAGCAGAATCATTTTCGTTCCTTCGTAACTGACACCCACATTTATATGTTTCAAAGACGAGCCAAACCAGTCACTCGTCGCAAAAATTGATTTTTAGTTATTAATTATGGGTGAAACAGTAAAATAATGGTAAAAGAATCATTTAAATCCGACTTTTCATTATGAAGTTACAGGAGTTTAAACATGCAGCTGTTTAAGAACAATACTTGAGAAATCAACCTTCAAAGTTTAAAATTTCAGGCTTTTTTTTAGGCAAAAATCATCCCTAAATTGTTAAAAATTTTTGTTTTAACATTGAAAATGGGGCAAAATAAGAGCATAGCATAATATATAGATATATAAAGGCTAGCTGAGTGCAATAAAAAGGATTTCCAAAATGTTGACATTCCAGCATGTTTTGGCCATTATCTTCGAAACAGGATTTGCGAGGAGTGACTGGTTTGGCTTGTCTTTGCCACGTATTCTTTAACTTAATAATTTTGCAAATTTAATATTTTCATTTCATCATTTGGTCTGATTTCATTTAGAATGAATAGTTTGACAAAGCATTCATAAGAAGATAAAAAAAAAGACATAAAATTGAAAAGGATGAGAGCGAACCTGGAACCACTTCGCGTGTCGTAAAGCAGCTAGTGCATCAAGGCATTTCTGCCTGTCCAGTACGTCCGGAGGATCTTTAGTAGTTTCTATGGCATAACACAATTACAGCAGGGTTGGAATGGGTGTTTGACCAACTAGCCGCTTAGACTGCCCACAGCCAACAGGCATGCGGGCAGGTCGCAAATTGGTACCTGGGTCAACATGGGACTTGATGGCCGGCACCTGGGATTATTAATTTACGATTTAAGACTTGTTGGAATAAGAAAATTTCAAATCTGGGATTATCTAATAAGGTCATCTAATTCACTTTTAGGGATAAATTCTCTTATAAAATGTTAGATATGTTTAAAAAAATTTTTTTTTAAGCATCCACAGGAAAAAAACTATGGAGAAAATAAAACATTTAATAATTGCTTTTTAGTAATTATAAAAAATATTAAAAACATTGTGACTTTTGATTAATTATTATTTTTAACTTATATATCCACATATTAAATAGATGCCAATCTACTTAAAGACAATGACAACAATGTCTTTAGAACAAGTATTAATTATTTATCTTTTTCAGATTGATTATGCATTAATCTAACTGAATTAATACATAAATTAAATTTCTTATTCCTCGTCTATTAAAGCAGAAGTATTTTTATGGAAATTTATGTAAATGTTTCAGATTTTGGGGGGTCTAGATATATGCACAAGAGTTCACAAATTAAAAAACAATAATTTCTTTTCTTTCAACACCAATACATTCTGAGTTATATTTTATGATGCCAGCCCTAGCCACCAGTGTCGCCAAGATGCACATTGCGACAAGCGGAGTATTTTTCCGATGGTCAAAAATCCTCCAGGTCTCTGCGAAGAAGCTGTTCTTGTAAGAAGGCTTTACACTGAGTGAAAAACGGAGGCAAAAACATCGCCAGCCGAACATGTTCGACTGGCAGTTAAAAATCTGAAACGATAACACTACAAAGCGAAGACAATCATAGGAGCTTGAGTCGGACACAGACGTCCACTCGTGTCCAGCGTTGATCAGGTTGTATGCCTGGGTCCACAACCCCTGGGTCGACCCAAGAATATACCTTCAACTAGCTTAAGTAGCAATCCCTCATGGTTCTGTGATAATTTTTTTTTTCCTCAGATGGCATTTTAATCCTGATGCCTACTGAGAATTGCAACATCCAGGTGTCTCCATTCTGGGAATTATGCAAATACAGTTAATAGCTTTATTTACATCTAGATGTGCCACTCTTATCTGCAATTATCACATAAACATATGGAATTGTCACAATAAACTTGAACCGAATGATCGATTGTGGCCAAAGGCTTCCTGTATTGCATGTCAAACTTTGAATTTTCAAAATGTAACATCGTTCCTCAGTGACACTTATATCTTTAATTTGAAAAGCCTTCTTTCATAAAAACTAAATAAATAAATATATTATATATAAAAACAATAAATAAATAAATTCTCTTCTGAGGAACATTACAAAATATAATAATTATATATTATCAATGCTAACATTAGATTAATTAGATAAGTTTTAACAATTTCATTTGCCTCACTTCATGACTACATATAAATCAAGTGCTTATACATTATAAAGCAACAATAAATAACACACATGTGAACAACTACAACCAAGTGCATGGATTTATGGAGGAAATCTAGCAACTTGGGCAGTTCAAATTCCATCTATTAGCACTATTTAATGGTGATGCAATAGGCCTGGGTACCTAAGTTCTTGTAAAATGTAAAAACATAAAACAAGGGTCACTGTTAATCAGAAAAGTCACATGTCAGGAATGTGGCCTTCTGATTAGCTGATGACCTAGCCTCCCGGAACCAGATTGCATGAATTAAGGCGCAAATAAATAATTCTTTTCTGACACAATTCAACTGAAAAAACTAATCAAGTCAAAGCCTATTTGAAAGGTTCCTCAGAAGATAATCTATAAATGCCTGAACAGCCCAAAAAAATAAATAACACAAAGGAAACTGTTTTACCTGAGGGCGCTTCACGCATAGCTGGTGAGCTGAGTAAGATTTTGATCGATGTCTTAATCTCTTGGTCAGTAGAAAACACGATAATCGCTGCTTCCTCAACACACAATTTCAAATCAAATTTCCCTTCGGTCTCCTGTATTATAATAATAATGACAAATATTTATATAGCGCCAATTCCAAATGAATGATCACTGAGCATTTTTACCCCTGATCACTGGCAAAGCAGCACAAAGCACAGCCTTCTCTGCTCTGAGTATACATAGTCGTGCACTTGTATTCAGCACATGAAACTAGTACGTTCAGTGCCACAACATCCTTCCAGGTACCCTTATATACTTCTTGGTAGAGAAAGACAAACGTAGATAAAGTGCCTTGCCCAAGGATATAAGCAACTTGCACAGTGAGAGTTTCAAATCCTTAACCTCAAGGTTGGAATTTCAAGCCACAAACTATGCCCCAACAGCTTCTAATATATTGTTGATAATAATTTTATAAACAGGCAGATAAAGGGTAGTACTGTACAAGTGCAACCAAACAACATGTTTGTATAAGCACTCAACTAAAGGCAAACATTTTCTTGTTTTAATAATATAGAATGAACTCACCCTTTCTACATATTTTGAAGGATTTACAGTATTTTCATGGCAGTTTATGAAGTGTTTTACTTATATTATCATCTGGTTTATGGTTAGCTAATCAGACCAGACTATGGGTAATTGAGGGTATGTTACATCACAACCAATCACTATGATGCAATTAAACATATTTACATTTTAATATGACTAAGAGCATTAATACCACAGCCATAAATTAGCAGCATCAGAAAAAGAAATAGTCTTACTGTACAGTAGATTTAAATGCTTTACAAATCTGTTTAGCCTTTATAAAAATAACAATTTTTTATTCAAAAACTTTTCAAGTATATATTCATAAATTAGTTTTTTCATTCATTAATAGGTCTACATAAGCGACCAACCTTTGATAATTATTAAGTTTTGATCGACAGTTTCGCTAAATTTGAAGACATCTTGTATTTTTAAAATTTTGTAATTTTTGTGTGCAACTTGTATGCATTCAATTATGTTTCTCTATTATTGTAGTAATATGAGTATATCATAAGGAACTGGGGCCAGATTTATAAAACTAAAAATCAGCTTAAATTTGTCTTAAGTCCATTTTTTTACTTAAGTCAAATTTATCAATATTGCTTAGCTTAAAAATTACTTAAAATTAGGAAGTCAATTGTACAGAAACGCCATCTAAGACAATTTTTAAGCCAAGATTTTGCTAAGATGGTTTAATAAATCAGCTTAAGATATTTATTAGGGACATCTTAACATTTTTGACATAAGACATTTGCTAAGCTGAGATTGTTAAATCCCGGGCCTGTATCTCATAGCTGCATTTTACATAATAATGTGTAATATCGTAAATTGAAAACTAGGAACCCCATAACCACAACCTCAGCCTACTTACAGCTAATCTCTTGGGAAGGTTATCTGCCACACGTTCAAGAAGAGTGCGTGTTGGTTTCTCGGAGCACAGTACCACTAGGCTCATGTTAAGATCTCCACGTAACAGCAGGCCCTTAGCTAGTACACCTACACGCATCACGCCCTTTAAAGCACGAGGATTTGAATCTTTCCTGTAATGCAATGCAAACTCAAATTACACATCTTGGAGCTATAACTAAAAGCCTCCTCATTGTTTGACCTTCCTTCTAATCTTAATTATAATCATGTGTAAACATAAGGGTTCATTTTGCAGTATGTATATTAATGGATAATCCACAATTCAACTGCAAATTTACAGTTTGCAAAATAACTCATGTAATTTGAAATTAAAGCTTGTACCTACATACAAGGAGGAAAGGTAGTTAAAACTTGAATTACTGAATTATAAATCATAAATATTACATTAACTATAGTAACAGTAATAATTAATTGTGTAGTATGCCAGTATGATCCATCTAAAAAGATACTCATGGAACAGAGTTACAACAGTTAACTAAGATTCTGAAAATGTTTTTTTCCTATAAAATTGGATAGGTGGAGATAAATGATTACACTCCCTGGGTATTATAATTCTGGGACTTAATAAATAAGTACATTTGCAAAGACAATAATAATTTCCACATGACTATGTGGGACCACCTTTTTAACTCCATATCAATAAATGTATATATTTAAGTATCTATATTTAATGACAGTGATCTGTATTCCTCCATTTTTAATTCATTTTTTAAAAATTTTTACTTATTTATTTATTTCATCATATTTTCTTTCACTTACACTTCTTCTTTCTTTGCCTCTTCTTCATTTTCTTTCGTTTCCTTCACCTCGGCTACTTCTTCCCCCTCTTTTTTAACTTCTACTTTCTCTTCTTCCATGGGAACAGGATTGTCTGCCTCGGAGATGTAGTCAGATACAAGTTTCAGAGATTTTTCACAGCAAGTCACAATATTCTGCACAGCAGCCAACTGAAATCAAGCCAAAGCATAAAGACATTAAATCAACAAGCCACCAATGGGACCGACCAATTTTTAATTACCTTATATACTCGCATACAAGGTGACCTGTGTATAAGACAACCCCCGAGTTTGAGAAGATTTTTATATGTTGGGCGTATAAGACGACCTCCCCCTCCCCCACTGTCGGAATTCATACTTTTTGCTGCTTTTTATGATCTTGATTCGAATGATTGGACAATCCGCACAAAAGACGAACATGATTTTAAAATTCTAAAATTTGTATGTCGCACGTATAAGATGACCCCATGCTTTTCAATCCTAATTTGCTATTTTAAACCTTGCCTTATATACGAGTATATCCAGTTCTTAAATCTTTTGCTTTAATTTATTTATATTTTGATAAATAATTGAATTGGTTGGATTAGGATTTACCTCTTGTTCAGTTGGGTAGATGGAAGAATGCTTCGCCATAACGTGACGATCGATAATCGTATCTGGTCTCTTAGCCATCATATCTTGCATCATCGGAGGCTTTGGTGGAACGGGACGAGGATGAGGAATACCACGACGACGTTGCCACTCAAAGAATTCCATCTCTTCCTCGTACTGCAAGCGTTCTTCCAAGAAACGTTCTTCCTCAAAACGTCTCCAGTAGATGTCCTCTTCGTAGCGTCTAAGGGGCCAAAAACCACACAACATACAACAGTGTTAAAGAAAAGATATTATTAACTATATAACAAAGAAGTAGAAGGCCAACTGCTGACGGATCGTTCCTGTCATTACCACATGGAATTTCATTGGCTGAAAAATTAGTAGCAGTAGCAGTGATGTTTTGCCCTACCTGACATGTTATCATACTGAACAATCGGTACGTTCCTAAATTCTTGGGGAAAAAAATTTGCAAGTGATTCAGGTGGGTATTGAACCCACAACCTCAATATAACTAGCCTGGCGCCATAACCACTAGACTAACCAGCTTGCACTTGCTCCAAGATGTGAATATTTACCTCCGCTAAAGGAGGTATGTATTCATTGTCTGTCTGGATCATAAAATTTGGTGGAATGATACATAATATTTGAAGAGACCATTCAATTTTTGGAAGGAAAATCACAGAAATTTGATTTTTTTTTACCTTCAAGCATCATCCATACATGGCCTGTTTGTTGCTCAGTATTCAGACACAGGGCGAAGGTATGTATTCTATTGGGTGACTGCTCTAGTTATCTATGTATTCTCACCTCATTTCCACCTGAACTCGCATCTCTTCATCTCGTCTTCGTAGAAATTCATCTTTAGCCATCTGACGTCGAATTTTCTCCTCATGGAATTTACGAACACGTGCTGTTGGCTTGATCTCTACTTGATACTTAGGATCAACTTTTTTCTGAAAACATACAGATAATACAACAAATAATACAATATGGCTTCTTCATTTCTCCCTCTATCTTTTCCCTACACCCTTGTGTTGCCATTGAACTCTCTTCTTCAATTGTCTACCAATTTACCCACTTGTGTTCCAAACGCAGGTACGTTTAATCTCCCCTGTATTAACTTCTTTCCCTTGTGCTCCCCAACCTCTGCCTTGCATGTTTAACCCTAGTCTGACTGTTTACAGGATCGAATGTTTTTGCATCCCTTCAACCATATATGCCCCTAAAAATTAGTTGTATTCCCTAGTCTCTGTTCTTTGTATAGCATATATTCCTTAAAAATCACTTTAACTCTTATATACCTGTAAAATCTGTGATTTTTGGGGCTTCAAAAAAGCAAGAAATAAACTGGGTACAAAACCTCTATATAAGCCCTGCACACTTCTGCCCACCATAATTACACCCTGGCTTATATTCTGCTACCATAAATTTCCATATCCATTAGATACCACAAAGATTGTCTACCTTGTACTGGAGTCTGTGGCGGCGCCCTTTCATGTGCATCTCTTTGGCATTGGGGTCATTGAACTTGCATTCACACAGCTTACAGTTGAAGCTGATCACTTTCCCAGTTTCATTCTTAACCTCCTCCACATAGTCCTCCCCAACGGGCGTGATTTCTTGCTCATAGAACTCATCCGACATCTTACCTGAATGAAATGGCAGAAAATTTTAACATAAATCTTTGGACAAAAGCATGATCTGGGAACAAGGCAAATGTCACTGAATATTCTCTGTAATGTCACTGAATATTCTCTGTACATGTTATCAGAAAGAGACATTAAGAAGGAACTTACTCTCATTAAGTGGTGGTACCGGAGAAGATGCAACCGGTGCTTGGGTGGTAGGCTTCGCTTCTGCTTTCTTATCAGCCTCTGGGGATGTAGCACTCTGAAGCTTCGAACCTCCTACAAGAGTCATAAAGAAAAGTCATGAGTAAAATATAATCATAGGCTTCAGCAGACATGCTCATCTCGAGTGTACAAATGCAATCTTGAGAACTGGTTATCATAGCAATAGGTCTGATCTACAATTGAAACATGATTTGTGAATTAAAATATTGCTCGCTTTTTTGTATTTTATAAAATGTTTAGTGACCTTTCGTCCTTGGGCAATGCACTTTACCTATGGATGTCTTTCCACCCAGAAGTGGGTACCTGGAATGTTTGAAAGCAAAATGAACTGATTACTAGCTACAGCATTATGGAATGGAACATTCTGCTAAGTCTCCACCCTTGGATAATATTGTTGAGGTCCCACAAAACGACAACATAAACAAAGATGGCAACACGTCATGTTTATGGGACAAGCACATAACCCTGGTTTGACTGACACTCCAGGGAGGTCTATGCTACTCCAGAAGCTGAGTATATTTTTTATATGTGTTTGAACCAATGAACGATGGAAATAAAGTAAAGCGCTATTTAAGACTAACATATTATTATTAAAAAGCTTTCCTCTTAGCCACGCCAGTTGGATACTGTTGCTAAGGTCCAACAAAACAATAATGTAAAATGCACTTCATTCCTGAAGATGACACAATAAAGGTCGAAACGTTAAATCATGGCCTCCCTCTCATTATTCAGCATAACATTCGTTCTATGTTAACGTACGTAAACATGTGTGTTTGTGGGACCACATGTGCATTTGTTGGACACGCGCATATTCCAGGCACTGTTCTGATTGGTCAGTTGTTAAGTTTGATTGGCACTTCGGAAAGGTTCATTAACGACCAGTGAACACCAAATAAGATTGTAGGATCCTTACCAACAAAGGCAATCTTTGGAGTTGTCAGCTGTTTAGTGACAACTTTGGTCTTCTGGGGAGTAGTTAGAGACTGCGTGGAGGCAGCGGCAGCTGTAGAGCCTGCAGTGGTAGCCTTCATTTGTACTCCGGCATTCTTAGCTCCGGCAGTGCTAGATGTTGTCGGTGTAGAAGTTCCCCCTACTTTCACCGGTTCAGTAGATGGAATTGGTTTGCCTAGTTTAGTGTGCAACTTCAAAACCTATTTGAGAAGAATAAAAATAAAATTCTAACCGACTTTCATGTAATCAAAACTACAAGGCAGGGTCTTAACAATAATATACCAAAATAATTATTATTTTACTCTCTGATCATCTTTCATACTTATATTATTTTATTTACTATTCCTCAATACTAAATATACTTTATTTGTCATATATGTCAAGATTCACATAAAATTAAATTTGTGAAACACTTTGTATTTGAACACAGCTAATCAATGATGAAGAATCATAAAAATGGAAAACATTTGACTTGGAACACAGCTAAGGAACTATCATCAAAATGTAGCCAAACTTTGTTCAAGAAATGGTCGTTAATAGAATAAGACTATATCCATAAAATCACTACAGTAACTACAGCGTTTTCACTGCAATCCTTGCACTGCGTGCTGTCCCCAACGCAATTCAACTGACCAATCAGTGTCGCCAAAGGATTTGGTGATAGCCTGTAGCGAAACCAAGCCTAAATCTATATAAATTACAAGTTTCCGGCATTAAAACATGAAGTGGTTATCAACACCACCATTCACAAAGGTAATATGATAAATACATATTCATAAGTATAATCTGAATATTCATAAGCACCTTCTGATGTTTAGCACCTCTGATATGTGCATTGTACGCATCTTGTCCAGTACAAGTCACGTCACAAAGCTCACAGCGTAGGCTGTGCGTACCGATGCGATGAGTTGGACCCTGACTGCCAGTTTTAAGTTGAGCTTCTTTCTTCTTGTGTTTCTGACCCTCAAGATGCTCACGGTATGTCTGTAAGGAAGACAGGACTTTTTTTTTAAATAGTGTTTAAAATTTCTACCTTTCAACAAAAGTGTACTGTGCTTACACTCGACCTAACTAACTAATTATAAGTTATATTAAAACCATAAATTAATTAATATTTCACTTTCATTGAACTTCCGGTTATAATCGCAACTATAAGGAACAAGGTAAATCATGAAAAAGGAAAGGAATTCCCAGGGTGCCACTGAAAAATGTGTAGAATCCTTCATTCATCGCCCTTTAACATTCCTAAACCAGCAAAATGAAGTAGATTACAAAAAAAAAAAAAAAAAAAAATTTAGTGATGTATGCTCACCTGTGGTCCAGCACAGCTGATCTTGCAGACTTCACAATAGTGGATCTGCGGCTGTTTTGGGGGCTGACGCTCCTTCTTCACAGGCTTACTGAAGGGACCTTTGTTCTTGTTCTGCCATGGTTGACTGCCTTTAGCAACCTGCTGCTGTTGCTGGTAGTAATTAGTTGCAGCAGAATAGACGGCTGCATCATATCCTGAATATGTATTACCTGAAATTATGAATATAGGTTTTTTCCATAATATCAAATATCAATGAAAATTATAGTAAAAGCAATAAATATAATATTGACAACTCCACCAATAATAAAAATAGGCTCCCAGGGGGAGCTTGACATAGGGTTTTTTTTTTTGTGGCTACTTTTAACTCACAACCCCATTTACACTTTCTGTGTACAAGTAATAAATTGTTCACTATTTAGTTCATTCTTCCAGGTCTTATCTAAGCATATGGCATCATATTTCGTAGGCTTATTTTGGAAGACTGTTCTTTTTTATCTTTAGCTTATGATACATTCTATCATTCCTCTAACAGAATATACTTTCACAACTTAAAAGTAAGACGATAGCTAAGTGTCTACGGCTCCACTCGGGGGCAGCAGACAGAATAACTATAACCATTATACATAAATCAGTATCAGAAAATTTAAAATAAGATATCTAAAGACTAAAGTAAATTCTGCATAACCTACGTGACTTACCACCAGTGGTATAGGTGGTGGCAGCAGAAGTGGTATATGTGGGGACTGTGGTTTGGGTGGAGAATGTGTAAGAGGCTGCAACTGTCTTAGGTTGCTGGACGGGCTTTGCTGGTGCAGGCTGATGCGTGGTGAATCCACCCCCTGAACCATAAGCAGCTGTTGCCTTCACAGCCACTAAAACAATGATGAAAGAAAAAATAAAATAAGGTAATGGTACTTCATAAATTTTAATGGTGACTTGTCATCCACGGCAGGGATGATTTGTAATACAGTAAGAATACTTGCAATAAAAAATAAGGAAATTTTAAGACATTGAAGATCAGTTAAGCTTATACATTTTTTAATTCATGTATGGGCCACATGGCAAGAAACATGTAACATGTTTACTTTGAATGATCTAATAAGCACAGTGGAACTAATACACTTTTTGGAAGCTTTAGTGTCGAGAATGGTGGTTACTGTAAAACCATAAAATTTTGTGCGCATTAAACTTTCGCGAATGGTCCAGATTCGCGAAAATTTTATGCCGCAAATAATTTTCAGGTAACATGTTCTATGTTTCAAAAAAGATCGGTAGAATATTATCTGATCATTGTGAATCTCGAATCAGTTTCACGAAGGAGATTTTGGTCATTATAAGTCACTAAATTACACCAAAAATTAATTTAAACTTTTTTAAAGATGATAATGAACAATAAACAGCAAGAATTGTCGGTATTTCAAGGCCTAAACTCGCCTACGACGATGCAATACAGATCTAGGCCTAAATGGGGAATCCCACAAATTGCAACATGTTTGCGAAAAGTTAACAACTTCAACATTTAAAAAATTGTATTTTAAATTACTTTGTGGATTTTATTAAATGTGTATAAACTTAATAGAATGTATTTCAATTATTTCAAGTATTCTGACCTTAAATTCCGACGTTAAGCTAAAAAAATTTGTAAATTCTAGGCCTATTCTAACCTACTCAGTAAGTATACTGATCAGGGAGGTTCTGATCATCACTGCATGTGATTGCATATGTGCAACCACTGCACAGTGTATACTAAAAAGTTAAAGTAGAAATTAATTTTCGTACCCTGACAAACCACGATGTTCAGTCATCATCAGTGAATGTATTTGAATCAATATTAGGCTTACAGGAATAAATATTGTTCATTGTAGGATGCTTGAATACCCTACACAATTTAGGAATATCGTATGAGTGAGTATATTGTAATGTATGTAAACTTGTGTCTTTCTTAACAGTGCCTGGGATGGCCAGCTAAGTCCTGGTCCTAGCAGCTGAGGTAGACTGCAGGCTAATGGTGCCTAGCTACAGTATTGTAGCCTAGACAGCGGCTATAGGCAGGGGTTTATTTATGAATTTGAGTAGCAGGAGAAATTTGAAAGTAACAGGAGAGTAAATTGAAATAGGCCGGTTT